TAGTTATTAGAAAAAAATAAGAAATCTAATTCAGACTACAAAATTCATTCATTAATTCAAAATTCTATACTTTGTTAGATTTGTTATATTTTTAATATCCCATACATGCTCATTTGTACTTTTTATGGAAATGGTAAAAAATTTCCATAGATAAACTAGTATAGTACTGTAGTAAACTTCCTCTATGGGTCACTTCTAATGCTCTGCACTCTAGGTTTTCTAAAACCTGGAAGAGAGATGCTGTCATCTCTAGTTTGCTTATAAGGAACCTGAGCGGGGCTGTGTTAGATGCTCCCGCAAGGACAGAGTCATAAAGGAGCCTGTGTGGGGTGATGCCACAGCCTGTCCTGAAGCTCGCCCCTGAGCCTAGCATACAGCTGGCCACTGCAGGCCTCCAGGAGAGCTGCCGAGAACATGAGATGGTTTTCCACAATCCTGAATTGGTGGCAGAGTTCCAGCCCAGAGTGTCTTCCCTGAGAGCCTGGACACGTTCGGTTCTTTGCACCCCGCTCCATCCTTCAAAGCGTACTAGCGCTGTATTCCATACACAGGTTTTTACTAAAGAAGGTAGTATAGGACTGTTTATCAACAGATGTATTGTCTGTCCTCAAAAAAAAAAAAACAAAACAAAACAGCAGAGCCACCAGACTTGACCTACCCTGACGAATGGATATTGAGAGCTGTTTTCCTAAACACACTATTATGTAGACCTTGTCAGCATTGACCAGTGGTTGGTTGCTTTTGAGCACAATGAGTTTGGGAGTCAGTGAATTCCCGTAGTGGAGACAAAAGTCACTTGTTTGGCAGTCACCTGTCATCCTTTCTCCCATATGCATTCATCCATTTGTCACCACGTTTTGTGAAGAGTGGAACAGGGAAGCTTAAGAAAAATGCTTTATTCTTGTCTGGGTGATAGAAAGCATTTCTCATTGCTGGCAGCATGGTGGTAACTTTTCATTCCTTCTGGCAGTTTTTAAAGACTTATTTGACTTGGGGGGAACCTGCAGTATATCTTAAAGTCATAGTTCAAAAGTATAAGACAGGGTTGTTCATTTTCAATTTTGGCTGAAAAGTCTTAACTTAAACGGTGGCACTTCAAAGTTAGGGAAAACTTGGCTTTAAAAATGGATGCTGATAGGAGATGGCATATTTAATGACAAATGTATCTATAGAAAGCTGTTAAGATGCAGATTATCCCCCCCTGGGGTGGGGGAGGGAGATCAAAACTGCCAATCTATAAAATGTACTCGATAGAGGGAGGCAAAGAATCTATCTTTGCAAGTGCTTTGATTGCAGGGGACAGTGTAGCAGCATGTGGGCATCATAACCCAGAGCAGGCAAATCAGCCTGATGACTTTCAAAGCCAGGAATACTGCTGCAGGCAAGGGCACTCCAGTCTAGGAGAAATTAAAACATATAGAGACTGTTATTAATTCCATATCTATTTTTGTATAGTCAAATCTGTATGCAAATCCTTAGCATCTCATTTCAGCAGATTAATCTAAAAGTGAAGAGTGTTATGTGAAGAGAATGTAATGATAAAGCTCTGCAAATAACACTGCTAAAGAAATGTGGGCTGCAAACTTGGATGCTTTTTTAAAATTTATTTTTTTGTACTGAGAACAAATGGTTTTTATTTATATGATCGTTTGTAAATTATTTCAAAGGGGGAAGCAATAGAACCAATTTCTAAGGTTTTTCCCTTGCAATCCTGACTTGTCAAAAGTTACACCACTAGGTTTTTTAGGCACCTCCTGTGGTTTAACATTCCAGAAGTAATCAACCAAATAACTAACTAGGATTTTTATTTTTACTTCCACCTACTAACCCAGTATCTCATTTTTAAATGGTGTCATGTGAGTGAAAATTTGTGTGTAAGGGTAAGGAATCTAATTACAGTGTGCAGATTAAGGGGTGGGGGAAACTATTACAAATGCATCTGTAGAAGAGAGTAAATAATAATTCTGGTTCCTCCCAAGAGATATCAAGATATCACCCTGCCTAAGAGAGAGGATGTAATAGCTATATTCTAATCCATTGGTTGTACATTTAATCTATAATGGGCAGAGTCTGATACATTTAGTAGTGTAAATATTTTCAAATAGTGTCATAAACAGATAGTTTACTGCAGTAGATATTAATTCTGTCCCATATTTCTAAAACAAGGAGAGAAACTGTCAAAGCTTTGAAATAATGGGTGGGAGCTTTACCCTCTGCTACCTCTCATTTGGAGAAATGATTATAGGTGAGCTGGACGTTAATCTGGTGTTTATGGCCCAGATCAAAAGCACTTGGCAATCATTTTAACCCTGAAGACTTGTGAGGTCTCAATAGATTTGATTATTCTTGTGTAGTTATGCTGAGAAAGAATGATTGGATGTTCAATTTTTGATCAGATAAAAGAAAAGGAAGGTTGGGAGGAAGAAGCAAACATACTTCTGTGTTTATTTGGGTGTACATTCTGACTCTATATAGGCATTTCAGCCTCAGCTTGCTTAAGTGTATTTTCTTTTCCTTTGATTTTATTTTAAAATGAGACATTCAAAAGAAATGCAGAGAAGACTTTCTTTGAGGGCAGGAAGCTCGTTTCTCTCTGTCCTTTGTGGATTTACGCTGCAGATAAAGCTTTCATTGATCTTAAAAGTAGTTGCAGGCTTCAGAGAGAATATATATATAAAAAAAGCCCTCCAGTTAATAAAAGCCATAGTCAATTATATGAAAGAAATAATCTCCTTATTGGGGTTGCACGAGAGAGTAATGATTGGCCTGGACAGACTTCCTTCCCTTTATGTTGCCATTAGTATTGATTGATTATTCAGCTCAGTTAAGGATTGTGCAGGAATCCTCTGGATTCTTGTTGACTTGATTCCTGGCCACGGAATTGATGGTGGTGACCTATTCAAAGTATTGGAAGTGTCAAAGCAAAAAGTATACTGGACAAAGTTGAGCAGATAAGGAAGACTTTGTTCAAGACTATTGCAGTAGGGGAGGGAGACCAGAAGGCAATCTGAAATCAACTCCTCTGAAGAAGAAGCAGGAGGGTTTGTTTTTTTTTTTAAAGATTTTATTTATTTATTTGAGAGAGAGAGAATGAGAGAGTGAGTGAGCATGAGAGGGGAGAGGGTCAGAGGGAGAAGCAGACTCCCCGCGGAGCAGCGAGCCTGATGCGGGACTCGATCCCGGGACTCCAGGATCATGACCTGAGCCGAAGGCAGTCGCTTAACCAACTGAGCCACCCAGGCGCCCCAGCAGGAGGGTTTTTAAACACTGAGCTTTTCTCAGTGAGAAAAGTACTGAAGGAGTTTTGGAGGAAGGTTGATCAATGTGATGTATTGAGCACATTCAGTTACCCCTGATTTTGTAAATGTTTTTCTCTGTGATTAGGCCATGTGTGTTTGCTGTTTGGCACCCAACAAAGTGAGGCTCCTACTCTCTTCCATAGGAACTGGGAGATAGGGACATTATATTCCGTGATGATTGCATTTCAATGGGATGGCTTCTGGGGCTTTGAGGAAGTTATTCCTGGGTTGTAAAACTTGAAAGAAGCTTCTTAAATGATTCCTATCTCAAGGAGGCGGAGAAAGAATTTACAGATTTTCTAAAGTAAGTGCTCTAAGAAAAGGGATGTCAGGGGCCTAGAGACAGAAAGAGGCCTGCCTAAAGTTGAGTCAAACTGAGAAAAATGTTAAGGCTGTATTGTAACAGTACACACTTTTTGAATTCAAAAAATTTCAACAGGAAACACTTTTAGTCTGGCTCAGTTTTAGATCTTTATTGAAAAATTGGCTGCTTTTTTGTGATACTTATTCAAATGTTACTCATTTTAAATGAGCATCTAGAACTATGTATAAGGCACTATTTCTAAAGAGATTTTTCGGGGGGTTGCTCTCATTTCTTGTTATCTTATTACCTAACATTTAATATCTCCTAGTGTTATTTTCTGTAATGCTGTTTTATATGTTTTTTAGTTCTCCCATTTGATGGTAAAAATTAAAGGAGAATCAGTAATTTCTGGGTTTTACAGGGCTCAGTGTATACCTGGGACGTGAAAATAAGTATGAGGACAGACAGGAAAACTTTGTTAGAAATGTGATGATTTTTAGTGGTTCTTGATTAAGCAGAAGTCTTTGGATCTAAGCAGCTGTCGAGAGGCTTTAGAAAAGTTGATAACAACATCGACTGTGTGCAGTGCTGTCCAACATGGTCACCCTCAGTCACGTGGCTTATTGGGCACTTGAAATGTAGCTAATCTGGATTGAGATGTGCTGTATCAAATATACATTGGATTCTGAAGACCATATGAAAAAAGGAATATAAAATACCTCCATAATTTTTATATTAATTTCACATTGAAATGATAATATTTGGGCTATGTTGAGTTAAATAAAATCTACATTAAGTTTACCTTCACTGTTTCTTTTTAGTTTTTAATGTGGCTACTGGAAAATTTAAAATCGCATATGTGACTCACATTGGGGGGCTCTTGTTATATTCTTTTGGATGGCTCTGGCTCTAGATTTCTTTTGATAAATCATGTCTTAGAAATGGTTCCTCTCGAGAGATATCAAGATATCACTGTGTTGGCGTGCAGAAGGTTAGAGCTGTAAAATTGCCAGTTTAGCTAAGGACAAGAATTTTCCATATAATTCTGTCCCGGGCATGAATTGCGTGGAGATTTGTCTATGTGTGCAGTGTTCGTTCCCACTTTCTGCCATACGTCGCCCCTCATTCTGGCCATGCAGAGCAGCTTGCCAGGATTGGGGCCTCTTGGTAATTTCAGCACACTTGTTGCTTGCTCTCAAATGGATTGCTTCTGAAATGTTTCTTGAAAATGAAACTGCTTCAACAATAAGCTTCTTAATTATGTCATGGGTTCACCACGAGGGTATACAAACAGATCCTCAGCAGTAGCTAATTTTCCTTTAATTGTATCTCATTCTTATGTTGGAATATCCTATTTTGTAGTCATGAAAGCTCTAACACATGTTAATCCATTACAGGTGGAGTAACTAACACAGCACAATATCAGAACAGACTAATGGTATATGAACCTAACCAGGTAAGAATCATATAAGAAAAGCTCATTACCTTAATTAAAATGAATTTTAAAAGATTTCCACAGTAATTAGTAGTTGAAATGCCAAGTCTATACACACACATGCATCTTAAACTTGTAGAGAGAAAAGGAAGCATCTGGATAAACTGCCTTTTTTTTTTCCTCCTCTCACAAAATTTCAGCTCCTTTAGTTTTATGCAATACAGGATGCTTAACTCTTTCAGAGTTTTGCATAATGTAGAAAAAAGGGGAGATACATTGATGGGTTAAATGCCCTTTATTTCCGTTATCTCAAATGGCTATTCATATTCAGAGGCATCCAAAGAAAGGATTTTTGATTGACCTGTTGTATGTCCTTTTAGAAGGTGCCTCAGTCCAAAAGGGGAACATGCTTATTGTTTCATTACTCCCAAACAAAATAATAACTTTTATTTAACTCAGCGTAGCCAAAAGGTCTGAGAGCAGTGTCAAGGACAAGTCTGAAGTAGAAGTATCTGAAAAGTAGAAGGATGTTTTTCATCTAACAGCTGGTGCCTGAACTGGAAGCATTTTGATGGTGTCTTTCCCTTCTGCCCACTTGCCATCCACACTCGATGAGTTTTTGGTCCCCAAAAGAAGAACAATTTTTATTCTCTTTTCCTTCTACCAAAATGTCTGTGGCCTTGGCACATGTGTTCAGGATTTCACCATTTCTATGATTTGGGTAATGTAAATATTTTTCATGATTATGACAGTATCCCAAAATGATTTGATCTGGGGATTTAATATTCATCAGCTGGAGATAATGGAACATGAAACAACAGGTTGGCTTTGGCAGCCTGGGTCATTATCGGCCACCAAATGTGTGTCCTGAATGACCTCAGTCGATTTGGTGTCTTTTTATTTCAACATTATTTGATTCTGAATTTAACGTGTTTCTCTCTTTGCAAGTGTGTTTCCTGATGTCTTTAGAAGCTGTAGATTTCAGAGACCACATGTCCATAGGCCAGATGTCTCAAGAGGGATCATTAATTACAGTTGCTTGAGTTCGGTGCACATGTGGTTAAAGAGGAAGAAGGTGTTAACATTTCTCAAATGAGTTCTGTTTCATGTTTGTACACACATGCTCTTTTTAAAAATTCTGCTGGCATATTGTTTATGGTGGATACTGGCAAACATCACATCTGCTTGCATCTTGCTCAGAATCTCAATAACTATCATTCAGCCCTGGTGCTTATTTTTCTTCTAGGCCTTTGCGGAGAGTCGATAATGCCTGCCATCTGCCACAGAGCACATCGCTACCTGCCAACAGGCAGGCTGGGGTGACCTCTGCTTCCCCACCACTGATTAGTATTCACACGCTAGCTTATTAGGAATGACCCCACTAGGCCTCTCTGTTTCTTTGCCTTTGCAGTGGTTGGCGGCTCACCTGGCAGGCACGGTAGTGAAGGAAGCTAAAGATATAATCAGGGGATGCAGGCAGACTTTACAAACCAGATGGCGTCCACAGTCCTGTGGCAGGGGATTGGACTGCTAATGCAAACGTTGATTCCTAATACTGGAATGGGTTGCCTCATAGAAAGCACCTAAGGAAGGCATCATCAGAGTTTTGAGTTAAATCCACTCATGTGAAATGTATTGACGATATTTCTTCACAGAATATCTGAAAGAAAGGTTTGGCTATCTTATTAAAAGAAGACATTTGATTGGAAAGAGTCTTATGACACAAATGGGGGAGCAGATAAATGCAAGCCTTTCAAACTGTTCAAACCACTCTTCTTTTTAAGTCTATCTTTAAAAAAGAAATTATATGCAATGAATCATGGAACACTACATCAAAAACTAATGATGTATGGTGATTAACATAATAAAAAAAGAAATTAGAAATGAGCTAGTAGATAGGCCTTTAGTGAATGGACCAATATTTATATAAACTTTTTTTTTTTTTTGGCTTATTCCTTTACAGCTTTGTGAACTGGTGAAATTCTATGTATTAAAGACATCATATGATCTTTCTATCAAAATTCAAATTTTTCTTGGCAAAAGGAATCTGGGTTCTTCCTGTAGGTTAGTGTTTATGTGCAAAGGAAATGGTTAGGTTTACTTACCTGTCCATTGCTCAGTTAAGATTTAAAATTAAGGTCGTATTTGATTTTCATCTAATTTTGCCTTTTACATTAGATTTTTGAAAGGAGCCATATTGAAGAGGAGTTGAGCATGTCTTTCTCATTACTGAGTGACCTAGAACCAAATAGTCGAGGTTTCACCATTCCTGAAGTTGTATAAAATTTGGCCTTCTATCAAAACAAATGTATGCCTAGAAATAACTTTTCCCTGTTTGGTAGACGATATGATTATAAATATGTTAAAAGGGGCTAATACAAAGGCAGCAATGGGACTTTGTTGTGAAACCAGATCTTTGCTCTTCCATTGATCTTGGGAGGTTAATTTTGGAAAGAACGGCTCAGTCACCCTAGCCCTAGCTTATGTAGAAGCCTTGGGTAGCCAGCGATTACTATCAGAATAATTTTTGAAAGTGTACATTTATTGGACATTATGTGGCACTCTTCTAGATGTTTTGTATTAACTAATTTAATCTTCACAACAAGCTTGTCAGGTATGGTATGACTCTCCCCACTTTACAGGTGAGGAAATAGGCACAGAGAGGTTAAGTACATTGCTCAAGGTCACACAGAGGTTATAAACTCAAGCATTCTGGATCCAGAGCCTGTTTTCTTAAATCATTATACCTAGCCATGTGCTTTCACTCTTAAGCAATTTACATGAGTAAGTTCTCTCAACTGGGGGAGAGAACCATCATGAAAATTTCTATATTCTCATGTGCTCCCCTTATAAAATGCAAATGCCCTATAAAATGCAACCCAAACAAGAGGAAATGGATTTGTACATTGCAAAATAAAGTTTTGGCATACATGGTTCTTCTCTACTTGTTCTCAGGTAAGAAGCCCATACCTTTCAGAGTATGTAAGCAGCACTCCAGTGGAATGTGATAGATAAAGCAGAGTCCCAGCTACTAATGAGGCACTGCTGTTTTCTGCCGTGGAGGTCTCTTATTAACAGAATCCACCTGAATTTCTTTTTTTTGTTTTCAGAATAAATGGATAAGCCGCAGTCCCATGCTGCAGAGAAGGGTCTACCATTCCATGGCTGCTGTTCAAAGAAAGCTTTATGTTCTTGGAGGCAACGACTTGGACTACAATAACGACCGGATCCTTGTGCGCCATATAGATTCTTATAACATAGACACTGACCAGTGGACGCGTTGTAATTTCAGCCTGTTGACTGGCAAGTACCTTTGACTAAGTAAATCAGGAAAAGCAGAGATTCAAGAAATTGCCACACTTGTTTTCTTATACCTCTTCAGTGCATCCCTAAATATCAAGTGCATCATGGCAGAACAACTTGTGTTTATTAACCAGAAAGGTGCACATTATTTATCTCACAAAACGTGACTCAGTCAAGTGGCTGAGCTAGTTTCTCAGGGCCTCTGTTACCTTCATGCATCTTGGCTGAGAGAGGTATGTCAAATACTTTCTTGTCAATAAATATTCACATAGGAACTCTGAGGCAATTAGGAGGAACCGGAGAATTAATAACGCTTTACAGAAGCAATTTATTTTTTTTGCTTTTTGCTTTTAGTCTTATTAATTTTGAGGTCAGGAGTCTGGTCTTCATTATTTGTTACTGTCAGGTACGGTTTCTGGCTGTAGTCTCCCAACAGCTAAATCTTGGAGTTCTGTGCATAGGGGTTTGGTGGTGTTTCCAGCCACATAGGGGTTCAAGCATTACCCAGGGCAACACTAGGTATGGACCCTCCTCATCCCAAAAGGGAATAAAAGGAAAGCAGTGAACAGTTTACCCCTAATGTTTCTTTACAGACTTGAAACCTTTCTATCCCTTGTCAGCTTGCATTATAAACATGCGCAGGTGATCAGGTCCCTTCCAGGCTGCTCTACTAAATAGGAAAATCACAAACTCAAAATGGTGGGTTGGACTAGCACCTGAAGACCTCTTAATATGCTGAGGGGACACTCCAACCCTAACAGCTGCTGCCGGGGAGGCAACAGCAAGTGCGGAACCAGTGTGAGGGGGTTAGATGCCTTGTATGGAGTTCCTGTTTTTGTGACCATGATGTTTGAGGCCCACCTACAAGTACTTAACCCTCTCTGAGTTGCTGTAGTGGCACCTTAGCCCCTCGGTCCCTGGATCTGTGATTCTGGCTGCTATAGAATCCAACTTATTTATTACCGCAGTCAATCTGGTGTCAGCCCATCAATAAAGAGAAACTCTCACTCTGATGGCCTCTAGGGAAGATTAGGTGGTAGTGAGTTATTCTGTCTTCTTTTTTTAAAATGGGAGAGGAAGCTTTCATCATTTTGGCGTGTCAGTATCTGGTCCCAGATCGGGAACTTTAATATAGTCCTAAAACTGTTGTGTATGTCAAGAAAGGAAGGGTAGTTGGGGCGCCTGGGTGGCTCAGTCGTTAAGCGTCTGCCTTCGGCTCAGGTCGTGATCCCAGGGTCCTGGGATCGAGCCCCACATCGGGCTCCCTGCTCCGCGGGGAAGCCTGCTTCTCCCTTCCTTCTCCCCCTGCTTGTGTTCCCTCCTTCGCTATGTCTCTCTCTGTCAAATAAATAAATAAAATCTTTAAAAAAAAGAAAAAGGGAGGGTAGTAACTTTATCAATTTTTTCTGTCATTTGTCTTCATTTGGGGGACACTCGGGGCATGGCTCTGTTTTATTGGCTTCTTGGGGTTGCAGCTGTTACCTTACAAATGTAAGCACTTACTTTAAAAGCATTTATAGAGGTATTTTGCATTTTGAAAATACATCTTGTTTCCACCGCTGTAATACGACATAGTAATAGAACTCTTATTTTGTTATTGCTTATTATTGCTGTATTTAATGCTGTATTTATCCACTTGGCTGGCAAATAAGTGTTTTGGCTTGGTTCTGACCTGACACAGATTCATTCTCTGTGAAAGAGTGGTTAATTCTTCCCTCTGAGTACTGGGAGGCGGTGATTAGTTGCTGCAAAAATCCTGTGGAGCATACAAGAGTGCCACAGGGGGAAATTGTATCCCTCAGTGGCAAAAGGGTTAATTAAGACATGCAAGGAAATGGATTTATTTTTTCTTTCTATTCAATTCTCTTTACTTTAGGCCAAAATGAATCTGGAGTTGCTGTCCATAATGAGAGAATATATTTAGTTGGTGGATATTCGATTTGGACAAATGAGCCTCTGGCTTGTATCCAGGTGAGTGGTTGAAGTTCCTTTTGAAGTTTGTTTGGCTCAGTGAGGTTACTTTTTGCAGTGCTGCTACTGAAGGAAGAGATACGTACACGTAGAAGGAGGTTTGAGCTAACTTTGTGCATCTAGTTTTGCCAGTAAACTTCATCCTGCTTCCTAAAAATGATGCCTAAGAAATGATGGAGCCCTAGTGAAAATAAAGATGGGGGTGAGCTTTGAAAATATGTATAATAATATCCTGGAAATGGGGAAAGTGGGATACCTTTCTCTTTCTCATAAACCAAAAAAAAAAAAAAAAAAAATCTAGAAATTTTTGGCAGTAGTACTATCACGCTCCCAAAACTTTACAAATGCCTCCTTTCCACTCAAATGCTTTATTTTCTGTATCGGAATTGGTTCATTCCAATAAATCCCACCTACAAAGGTGTTCTTCCTTCCTGGCAGAAGTTGTGAGCAGTAGTGGTTGATGATTAGTCTGATGGAGAGAGCCTCTGCCTCCAAACAACAGGCCTGGCCCATCAGCCAGTGAACAGCCCAGGTGAGGCAAGTTGCCAGCTGAGCTTTTTAGAGCAGCAATAGCTTTTGTTGATATACATATTCAAGGTCATCTTATTTTATCTTTTACGATTGTTATCATAGTTGTTTCTCTGTTTTACGTGCTCTCTGATAATGTATTGGCATGTATTAGGCCTGATTTATCTCTTGATCTCCAGAAAAATATATCCTTAAAATTATTCTTATTATCTAACCTCACCTTTGGGGAAAGATTTTTTAACCACTGCATAGTCACAGGACTATTCAAGATTTTAATTTTTTTTTCAGTCACATCTCATAAGGTATCAAGAAACTCTTCCATGTTGTCTCAGTTTTCAAAATGGTTAGCATATAGTTGTTTTGTTACCACTTAGTCATATCCCCCATTACATTCATAATATTGATTTTTTTTTTTTCTCCTCTTCTCTTGATTTATCTTGCCAGAGGTTTGTCTGGGTGTTTTACATACTTAAGTAGATCTAAATCTGCAAGGATAGCATAAGTATGAACAACATAATGAACAAGCTGGTCCTAATGGATGTGAGTTCTGGATTCAATGGTTAGGATAGAGTGTTTTTTTTTTCAGTTTATTGAGATATTATTAACATTTAATATTGTATTAGTTCAAGGTATACAAAAAATGTTATATACGTATATATTGACAAATGATCACCAAAATAAGTTTAGTTGACATCCATAGCCCTGCATAGTTACAAAAGTTTTTTCTGTTTGTGATGAGAACTTTTAAAATCTATTTGCCTAGCAACTTCCAAATATTTAATACAGTATTGGTAATTGTAGTCACCATGGTGTACATTACATCCCCAAGATTTATTTATCTTATAAGTTTAAGTTTGTATCTTTTTTATTGAATTATATATGACATACAAGTTTACAGTAGCTTCAGGTGTCTAGCATAGTGATTCAACAAGTCTATACATTATGCTGTGCTCACCACAAGTGCTAACTACCATGTGTCACCATACACACAATGTTATTACAATATCATTGACCATATTCCCTATGCTGTGCCTTTTATTCCTGTGACTTATCCATTCCATAACTGGAAGACTGTATGTCCCACTTCCCTTTACCCATTTTGCCCATTCCACACATCCACCTTTCCCCTGGAAACCACCAATTTGTTCTTTGTATTTATAGTTCTCTTTCTGCTTCATATGTTTGCTTTGATTTTTTTTTTTTAGATTCCACATATAAGTGAAATTATATGGTATATGTCTTTGTCTGACATTTCATTTAGCATAATATTTTCTAGGTCTATCCATGTTGTTACAAATGGCAAGATCTCATTTTTTATGACTAATATTCCACATATATATATATAAAATCTTCTTTATCCATTTGTTAATGGGCATTTAGTTTGCTTCCATATCTTGGCTATTATTATAAATAATGCTGCAGTAAACATCATAGTTAAAAATAATAAAAAATTAGCATTTTTGTATTCTTTGGGTAAATACCCAGTAGTAGAATTTTTGGGTCATATGGTATTTCTATTTTTAATTTTTTTGAGGAACCTCCATACTGTTTCCACAGTGTTCACACCAACTTAACATTCCCTACCATCAGTGTATAAGGATTCCCTTTTCTCCACATCCTCAACGGTCATATTTCTTGTCTTTTTGTTGCTAGCGATTCTCATTGGTGTGAGGTGATAGCTCATTGTGGTTCTGACATTTATCTGATGATTAGTGATGTTGAGAGTCTTTTCATGTGTCTGGTTGGCCATCTGTACGTCTTTGTTGGAAAAATGTCTTTCAGGTTCTTTGCCCCTTCATTTTTTAGTCAAATTTTTGGGGGTTTTTTGGTGTTGAGTTGTGTAAGTTCTTTACATATTTTGCCTCTTAAATCCTTATCAGATATATCATTTGCAAATATCTTTTCCCATTTATTGGGTTGCCTTTCCATTTTGTTGATGGTTTTCTTCACTGTGCAAAAGCTTTTTACTTTGGTGTAGTCCCAATAGTTTATTTTTGCTTTTGTTTCCCTTGCCTGAGAAAACATATCTAAAAAAATGTTGCTAAGTCCAATGTCTAAAGAGATTACTGCCTATCTTTTCTTTTAGGAGTTTTATGGTTCCAAGTCACATGTTTGGGTCTTTAGTGCATTTTTTTTTTTTTTTGAGTCCCTCTTATTTTTTTATTTTTTTATTTTAAAGATTTATTTATTTATTTGAGAGAGAGAGAGAGAGAGTACATGATGGGGGGAGGGTTAGAGGGAGAAGCAGGTTCCTCGCTGAGCAGGGAGCCCGATGCGGGACTCGATCCAGGGACTCCAGGATCATGACCTGAGCCGAAGGCAGTCGCTTAACCAACTGAGCCACCCAGGAGCCCTGAGTCCCTCTTATTTTTTTTATTGTTAATCACCATACATCATTAGTTTTTGATGTAGTGTTCCATGATTCATTGTGTGTAACACCCAGTGCTCCATGCAGAATGTGCCCTCTTTAATACCCATCACCAGGCTAACCCATCCTCCCACTCCCCTCCCCTCTAGAACCCTCAGTTTGTTTCTCAGAGTCCATAGACTCTCATGGTTCGTCTCCCCCTCCGATTTCCCCCCCTTCATTCTTCCCTTCCTATCATCTTCTTTTTTTTTTTTTTTTTAACATATATTGTTTGTTTCAGAGGTACAGATCTGTGATTCAACAGTCTTGCACAATTCACAGCACTCACCATAGCACATACCCTCCCCGATGTCTATCACCCAGCCACCCTATCCCTCCCATTAGTGCATTTTGATTTTACTTTTTGTGTGTCAGGTAAGAAAGTGGTCCAGTTTCATTCTTTTGCATGTAGCTGTCTGGTTTTCCCAACACCATTTATTGAAGAGACTGTCTTTTCTCCATTGTGTGTTCTTGCCTCCTTTGTCATAGATTGATCTTGTGAGTGTGGGTTTATTTCTGGGTTCTCTGTCCTGTTGCATTGATCTATATGTCTATTTTTGTGCCACTACATACTGTTTTGACTACTGTAGCTTTATAGTATATCTTTAAATTTAGTATTGTGATACCTCCAGTTTTGTTCTTCTTTCATAAAATTGCTTTTGCTATTAAAGGTCTTCTGTGTTTCCATACAAATTTTAGTATTATTGCTCTAGTTCTGTGAAAAATACTGTTGGTTTTTTTGATAGGACTGCACTGAATCTGTAGATTGCTTTGGGTAGTATGGACATTTTAGTGATCTTAATTCTTCCAGTCCATTAACATGGTATATCTTTCCATTTGTTATGTTACCTTCAATCTTCTTCATTAACGTTTTATAGTTTTCAGAGTACAGGTCTTGTACCTTTCTGGTTATGTTTATTTCTAGGTATTTTATTCCATTTTGTGTAATTATAAATGGAATTTTCTGCTCAATTTTGGTTCTGCTACTTTGTTATCAGTATATAGAAATGCAAAAAATTTTTGTATATTTTGTATTCTGCAACCCTACTGAATTCATTTATCAGTTTTAGTAGTTTTTTGGTAGAGTCTTTAGGCTCTATGTATAGTATCATGTCATCTGAAAATAGTGACAGCTTAAATTCTTCCTTACCAACTTGGATGCCTTTTATTTTTTTCTTTCCTAATTGCTGTGTCTAGGACTTCCATTATTATGTTGAATAGAAGTGACGTGAGTAGACATCCTTGTTTTGATTCTGATCAAGAGGAAAAGCTCTTGTTTTTTCCCCATTGAGTATGATGTTAACTGTGGGATTGTAATATATGGCCTTTATTATGTTGAGGTATGATCTCTCTCAATTCACTTTGTTGAGAGTTTTTATCATGAAGGGATGTTGAATTTTGTCAAATGCTTATTCTGCATCTATTGAGATGATCATATGATTTTATCCTTCATTTTGTTAATGAGGTGTATCATGCTGATTGATTTGCAAATATTGAATCATTCATGCATCCCCAGAATAAATCTCTCTTGATTATGATAAATCTTTATTATATTGTTGAATTTGGTTTGCTAATCTTTTGGTGAGAATTTTTTAAAGATTTGTTTATTTTAGAGAGAGAGGAAAAGAGAAAGAGAGGGCATGAATGGGGCAGAGGGAGAGGGAGAGACAGAATCTCCAGCAGACTCCCCACTGAGTACAGAGCCTGAGACAGGGCTCAGTCCCATAATCCTGAGATCATGACCTGAGCCAAAACCAAGAGTTGGGTGCTCAACCGATTGAGCCATCCAGGCACCCATCTTTTGTTGAGAAATTTTGCAACTGTGTTCATCATGGATATTGGCCTGTAGTTTTCTTTCTTTGTAGTGTCTTTATCTGGTTTTGATATCACAATAATGCTGACTTTCTAGAAGTTTTTGGAAGTTTTCCTTCCTCTTCTTTTTAGAATACTTTTAGGAGATTAGTGCTTAACTCTTCTTTAAATGTTTGGTAGAATTCACTTGTGAACTCCTCTCCTCCTGGGCTTTTGGTTGTTGGGAATTTTTTCATTATTGATTCGATTTCGT